GTCCCGAAAATTCAAGGGAAGGAAAACAGAAAAGAAAAAAATGAGTCAGCAGAATGACTTCTGGTTTTTCTCAGAGTATGAACTCAGAAGAGGCCTGCTGACAATGATTTTCATGAGAGCCTTTCTCACTTGACCTCCAGATTAAGAAGAGGTCTGTCCTTTCAGTGGATTTAATAAGGGAAAGGGTGGTGCCTGCACTTGAAAGCCTTCTCCTTCCTGTTTTTAAATGGCTGTGCTGATAAAGCTAGTCTTGAGCAAAATGACTTTTCAACCAGACAGATACTAACAGCAGTCACTTCTGCCAGAGGATAGATCTCCCCACCCCTCACCCCACAGAAATCCCCCAACCACCCTTTCTGTAGTGCATGATCACCCCTTTTAGTTCAGAAGGCAATGAAAATGAGGACTCCTAAACAGGCCCTATAACTATAAAAGGAAATTGCCTAATTCTGTCAGTTTCATCTTAGCACAGCTATGAAAATGCCCCACTGAGGTGAAAACATTTAAACCGCCAAGAGGAGACCCCATACTGAAAATGTCTTACTGTTTAACTATTTAATGCTGTTTTCAGGATTCATAAGAGTCTCCTATTTGAGACCCTCTTGATAGCTTTTCAAAGGAAGTTTCAGGTAGATAACATAAGAACAGCCCCTATGAATTGGTGTGACTCCAAACTCATTCCATGTATAAACAGAAAGATTGTTTAATGTAAAACTAAATTTGTGCAACAAACAAAGGAACGATACCAGACTGACATCCCACAAAGGGGTGGGATGAGGGATGGAGTCACATGTAGGTCTATAAATTTAAAAGGTTATGGCTAAACATTGTCCTTAAGCTTAATAACTAGTTGCCATAATGATGTATTTGTCTAAAATACATATTATCAAATAGGATACAAAATGTATGATGTGAGCTCAGCTATTTATATATACATATATATACATACACACACACACATATATCTCTATAATATAGTTTTTTAAAGTACCAGTTGCCTCTGGATGGTGGAATAAGGATGATTGTTTCTCTTCTGTACATTCTAAATTTCCTAAAATGAGCACATATTACATTTACAATTATATTAAAATTATAAGACAAAATGCATTTTATACTCCACCTGATTAAGTGAAACTGCAAGGGTGTAACCTGAGAAGTCTTTAAATAAAGAGTACAAAGAAATCCCAGGCGACAGTGAAAATAAACATATTACAAAAGAAAAGAATAAAGGGAGAAAGGAAAAAAAAAAGAGAGGAAAAGAAAGGCTTTCTCCTCTGCTGGCTTCTTTCTATAAACAGTAGCTTTCAAACAAAAACCACAATCCTACAGAATAACACAAAAGGAAGGTTCAGTGAGCTGTCTTCTTACACTCCACACAATCGCAGCCTGGGGGCTTCTGAGCTTTGTACTGCAAGACATAGCTCCATCAAAGCCCAGCCATCTGCAGCAGGTATGCAAGACATTTTAATGTAAGCCGAGGAACTTTCACAGGACACATTCATTGATGGACACAAACCTGTGCAGAAACCACAGGTATTCGATTCCATTCTCACTGACTTCACCCATAGAAGGTTATCTATCCTGTGAATGGATTCCTTTAGCTCAATGGCTACACAAGGCCAAACTTCCCCAGAATCCAGGGGCACCAAATTTAGACCACAGTGAAAGCTCCTGTCTGGTGCCTGATGAGCTTAAACTGAGTCAATGTCTCAACGGAACTCAGAGACCAGGAAGGCAGGGAGTGTCCTCACCAGACAGAGCCCGAGTTATTGACCAGGCATTCTTGGCAAGGCCTGAAGCGACCTTCCTGAAAACCCTCTGAGAAGTGGGTCTTCTGGAATTTGGCCACTTCATTTATTCATGCAGCAAATATTTTACTGAGGCACTGTGCAAAAAACACTGGGATTAAAATGTAGCCTAAAACGTGGCCCCTGCCTTAAAAAATACTCTTAATGAAGACTAAGAGTATCTTAGTCTTCTTAGTCTTTGACTAAGAGTGTCAAAGACTTCCAAAGAAAACTATCCTACTGACAAGGCCCCCTCCTGCTAAACCCTCCTGAAACTAACTCAGATTTACAAATTACTCAATCTTAGGAATTAGAAAAGCACAAAAGACAACGGACCCCAGATTAGAATTTGAGGAAGGGGCAGGCAGCCCCAGCCAGCTGTCTCCTTTTATTCCTTCCCTCCTTCCTCACACCCTCCAGCCACCAATGAAGCCTGAAATCCATCGCTTCTGCAATACTATTTTTTCTCTTTCACATACAGGTATCCAGAACTCATGCCAGAGGGCTCCAAATTTTTAGCAACACAATCTGTGCCATGCTGTTGTCCCTTCTGCCTCTCCCAGGGTGATCTGGAGAGACCCAAACTGCAGAGCCAGGCTAAAGGATCAGCCATCATTACCCTAAGATCCTTCAGAGAAGCAAAGATTGTGTAACTTTTAAAGAAATTCAAACCAGCAGGAAAAAGATTTAGCAAGAGCCGTCATCAACAGCGTGCTTTAATAAAATGAACCCCCCCAAAATAAAATGTTTAATATGGATTTCCAAGTGCATTTTTATGCCTCATTTAATGATAAACTGTTGACGTAGAGTTCTGTAGAACTATATGTAATTCAAAATAAGGACGACCTTTCGATTGAACCATCTGCAATTCTACATTCTACAGAATGTTTTGAAAGTAGTATTTGCTATGTACTGGGGGAAAAAAGTGTCAGAAAAGCATACTTACAGAAATTCACATAATAAACAAATGCCATTTCTTGAGGGGAAATGTTACAAGAAAGGAAGGCAGGATCAATGACAGAGGATAACTTATCAGCACAAGCTTAGAAAAGGTTCTCTCCCTCCTTCCAAAAGGATAGACCAAAACCAGGGAATGCCCCTTTCAAGTCAATTTCATATCCTAACTAGAGCTGGAAGTTTTAGCAAAGTGTCAGTTACAAGTTGGAAGTTTCTTCCTTTTCTCTTTGGCTAGAAAGTTATTTCCCAATTTGCCCACAGGATCCTTGAAAACCATATTTCACTGGGCATTTAACAGGTACAGAGAAGCTAAAGCCTGTTCCTGTTGCAGGCTGACTGATTGCTCATCCCTGTTCCAGACATTTCTGCAGAGAATGACGGGCACACATCGTCCCAGCCAAACTTTAAGAGGCCTGAACACAATTCTAGAGTCTAGACCAAATGATCCGGCCCTTGTTTAAACTGTTTGAGCCTCAGTGTATCTGCACACCACCTAGTTCCCTGGCCCTCTGGGACGAGTCTGGCCTGGTCTCCGGTGGCCCCAGGATCTTGGCACTCTCAGATGCCCATGTCTGTCTGGTCCTACCCACTGCAACCAAGGCCTGGCTGCTGGAATGCAAGCCAGGTCCATTTTTAAATCCCCTTAGAAGTTTCACAACCACAGGTTTGGGTGAGGAGACAAACAGCGCTGTAGTTTGCTGACATTAAACTAAAAATACCCAGCTGCAAACAAAAGCCATCTTTTACAGGGCTGGCTCGGATGTCCTGAGGTTACACGTGGTAGCGTGGGACCATATCCTTGGCAGTGTGGCGGCCTTAACAGCTGCTCCAGGCCCAGTAGGGCAGAGGGGCCGGTCTGTCCCTGCGCTGTCAAAGAATCTCGCAGGCGGCAGCCCAGCCTGTTTGATGGAAAGAACAGCTTTATTCCTCTGCCGTGGACCCAAACGCAGGCTCGAGGAAAGTGTGAGATACACACTGAAAAGAGAGGCGGGAGGCAAAATGAAAAACACCAACCCCATTTCCCTGGAAGGAAATGTGTTTCCACCTCCCTCCTCCCTGCAATTAGAAAAGCAAATTATTGCTGTGACTACGCTGAGAAAGGCAACTCGGAGGCGTAAAAAATGGATTTCTGAGCCAACGTGGCCCGGCGGGCGCTGCCGGGGAGGGGGAAATGGGAAGCGGGAACCGTGGCGTGGCGGGGCGACCGCGTTGGCCCGAAGGCTGCTCCGAAGGTTCTACCTGTTGGGCTGCGGCGCCGAGATGCTCAACCCCCGGCCGCCGCGCTCGGGGCCCCTCTCCCTCCCCAGGACCCAAACTTTCCTTCGCGCCCCTCGGAAGCGGCGAGCCTCGTCCCTCTCCCAGGCCAGATTTCGGATGTGAAACTTTGCCTTCAGCCACAGGGGACTGGAGGAAGGGGGGCTTATTCCCACACGGCCAAGGGGACTCCGGGTGCTGGGAACCCACGAGTAGGGGATGCAAACTGACGGTCAGCCCGGGACCTGGCCAAAGTTTCCTCCAAAACTGCGCTGGCCAAAGCGTGACCCAGGAGCTCGGAGTCCCCAGCCTAGGGTCTGGGGGGTAAGGGGTGGAGCTGGCCCCAGGACACCAGCCGCAAGGTCACTGCGGAGCTGGACCCCGGGGGCAAACAATCGGTGCCGCGCGAAGGGGCAGCGGCGGGCACCCAACCTCTCTCCACACCTGCTCAGCTCCGCGCTGAGCCCCGGACACGTGGGAGCCAGTCCCAGGCTCCCAGGCAGCTGCAGAGACTCGCAGCCTCGCCCGGGCGTGCACCGTCCGCCCCGGCCGCCGACTAGGAAGAGGCAGCTGGCCCGGGCGCAGCCAGGCGGCCTCTTTCATCCTCCGACCCGGGCAGGAGCGGGGAGGGAGTTTGGTTTTCTTCACACCAACACCTCACCCCGGCAGCTCCCCACATCTCGACCTTTCCCTGCCACCTCGCAGACAGACAGACAAGGGACACAAAGAAAAAAAAGAAGAGGGAGGAAAAAAAAAAACAAAAAACTACCGCCCCTCCTGGTCCCATCCTCCGGCTCGGAGCCGGGAGGAAGAAGAGGGGGGAGTACACCTTCCCTCCTCCTCCCCATCCCGACTCGGTGACCCGGGCAGCAAGGAGCCCCGAAGAGGCCGAGGGGGGAGAGGTAAGGCTGGAAGCGGCAGAAACCAGGCGGAGCGAGCGAGCGAGCGAGAGCGCGAGAGAGAAGAAAATATCCAACAAAACCACGCTAACGCGCCCCCTACCTGGGTGCAACATACTTTGGAAATAGAAGATGACCAGGATAAAGGATCCCAAGCAAGTGGCCAGCACCATCCGGCAGATTCTGTTCATCCTCATCACTTCCAGCAGCGCAGGCTTCATGGCTTTGTCCTGGCTTCGGGGACCGGGGTGTCCGGGACGCGCGCCCGGGGCGCAGGAGCGAGGAGCCCGCCGCGCGGACCGGAGCCCGGCAGGCGCAGGGCAGGGCTGGGCACGGCTCGCCGGGAGGATCGGGCTGGCTCGGCGGCGGCTCTCGGAGCCCCCGGCCCGGGCGGGGGTGTGGGAGGCGCGGGAGTTGGTCTGGAAGTGCCCAGATGCGAGGACCCGCCGGCCGCGCGCCGCTGCTCCTCCTCGTCGCCTCCCGGCGCTGCTCCGCCGCCTCCTCCGCTCCCGCCGGCGGCCGCCGCTGCCTCCTCGCGGGCCGGGCGGCTGGGGTGCGAGCGGTGATGGTGCCGCCGCCGCTGCGCTGGCCGCTGTGGCTGTCGGACGGGCCCTCTCCCTGCTCTCCAAAGGCTACTTCATTGCGCTCCAGCGATCTTTATATTCCGGGGCTGGGTTTTACCAAATGCAACTCGCGGCCCCCGGCGAGGGGAGGGCGCCTGCGGAGAGCCGCGAGGAGGGAGGGAGCCGAGCGCCGGGGCGGAGCGTCGCGCTCCCCCCGCCTCTGCCCGGGATGTGGTCGCGTCCAGCTGTTTCCCGGGGAGTGCGGAGCGCGCGCCGCGCTCCCGCAGGGTCCCAAAAGCCCTCAGTCCCCGGCCGGGCTCGGCCGCCGTCTGGAGGTTGTGTCAGCGTTTCCATGACAAAACCCGGAGGAAAAAAAGACGAATAAAATCGCCTCGGTGCTGCCACCCACCCCCGCCAGCGTTAGGAGAGGGAAGTGGCAGGGAGCGGGCTGGGTATCCGAGGGGGGAATGAGGAGGAGGGTTCTGGTGGCACGCGATTATCTCAAATCCCTGGGCGACGCAGCGGGGAAGTTGCCCTAAGCCCCCAGGACGCGAGTGTCCTTTTCCCGACGCTCGTAACTGAACGGTTTCGTTTTTCTTTCCATCGACAGCCCAGTTTGAGCGTTGTTTGGGGAAGGGGTTAAAGAGGGCTGCCTTAAAGTCAAGGTTAGGGAAACTGCATGACCCTCAGGGGTCAGGCGAAGGCTAAGCTTTCGCAGAGACTTCTGTAGACGGAGTCTGGGACATTCACCCTCATCCCCACCCCTCAAGGCAAAGGGGTTTGTGGACTTTAAAACTCTGGTTCCCCGAAGGGCAGAGCTTCCTCCAGATTATCCAAAGTGCACACGAGTCTGAGCTGGAGGATGTAAGATGCTCCTAGGAAACCACCTCCTCCAAGTCCACCCAACTGCTGGAGAAACCAAGCCCGCCTTAGCGTTGACAGGTAGATGGAAAGATGGCGTTGCTGTCTTGTGTTGTGTAAAGTGATTTAAAATGTCCAATTCCATGCATTTAGATCGTTTAGCAATCAATAAAGTGGACACAGGCAAATAGTGTGGGTAAAATATGTTAGTGAAAGGCTAATTTTTATGCCTTACTATCAAGTCATTACTAATACTACCTCAATTAATAATGAAACAAGATACTGCATCTTTCATTGCCTCTTACAAAATAGGCATTTGATGAATTCTTATTAAATCTGAATGTAATAGGCCTTATCCTCCCCGCTGTATAACAGAGACACAACTTGCAGTCAGACATGCGCAGCGAAACCACCTGTGCAACTCCAGTTCCCTCCCCTCAAAGTTCTCCTCCAGCGGTTGCATGGTAGGGAAAGTAACAAAGTCAGCAGCCTTGCCTTTGATTACAGAAGACAATCAATTGCAGCACAATATTTACGAAGCCGGTTTGTACTGTATTAATTCGTACTCACTTGTGAATGAATTGCTTGCTAAAGGCAGCCGAGCTGAACAAGCTCTAGTCAAAGTTGTCCTCCTGTGAGTGATAGGAGATTGGGGATGAGAGCTGCACTGTCCCCCCCACCAGCACCGAGGCAGGGGATTCCTTGCCGTGATCGTGGCTAGATGAGCACTTACAGAAACTTTTACCTAGAAGGTCAGTCTCATCTGACTGACTCATCTGGTTTTACAGAACCAGGAAGGGGCAGGGATTTACTCCCAGGTCACCCAACAGGACAAAGACTACACTGCTACCTGTACCAAAGCCTGGACATGCATAAGGCAGTTTGGGAGGTCACAGGGCCAAGGAAGAGGTCAGAAGTCTAATTTCTTGTGGGTTGTGGAGGTCATGGAGTTGGCCCACATGGTGGGAGAGGGTGGGGATCCATGCTTAGCATCCATTTTTACATTCCCACAATCAGGAATCGGCCCACACATAGGTGAGGAGTAAGACTCTAATAGGTAAGCTACCACCTCCTCCAAGAAGTCTTTCCGATTTCTCACCTGAAGTTGCCTCTTCCCTCCTCTGTGTTGTGATCACTAGGTCCAAACTCCTCTTGGGTCACTGTACCCACTAGGCTGAACTCCTTCCTGGAGGTGCAGGTTGTCTTCGTCTCTGTCTAGTGCCCATAGTGACTGGCATGTGGTAGGTACAAATAAGTCCGAGATGGAGAGGTGATGCCTTCTTGGACTAGGAGGTTCAATTAGATCACCCTACAGTCTGTGGTAATGGCGGTGGTAATGGTTCTGTGAGCACTGGGGGTGAGGGGAAAGGTTCTATTTCTTATCTCCTTCATCGCACCATAAATTGCCCAACTGCAAGTAAAGGCATTGCTTTCTTTCTGTTCCTAGCCTGACAAAACTTCATCACATCTTTTACTCATGCTACATAATATAATAAATATTGACCAGATGAGGGACAGTGTTAACTGGTAAGACTGAGGGAAAGGAGAAGATGTTACACCTGGAACACTGAAAGAGGTAAGATCCTTCAGATCTTACCTTCAGATCCTATTTCCCTCATTTCTCTAAAGTCCCTTTTGCCCTGAGAGCTTCTGCAAATCCACGCTGTGCTTGTTGTGGGACCTGGCTCGATTAATTCACTCTCCACATTGGACAGCTTGCCAATGGAACTGAGGCCTGCCTATTTTAAAGCCTGGCACAGCCCTGAAAAACTGGTTGAAAGTCCCATTTATGTTGACAAGCTCGTAAAATTTATAGTAGGGGAAGAAATAGGTGCAAAATCAGAATTCTGGCCTGTGGGTGCCATCGGCGGTGAAGCGACAGATATTTATGTAGCCCCTCCAATCCGCGCAGGGCGAGCTCTACCTCATTCCTGTAGATTACGCCTACAATGTACTGTCTTGTTAAGATCTTGCAAAACTGGCAGCGATGCCCCTTTCTGCACTTTGTTGGAGAGAGAGGTGAGCCCTGGGTACTAGTAGACAGAGAGCTCTTTAGCATCCTTTGGGGGAAGGTGGGATGTGCCTTCTGCCAACATCAGCCAGGGGCCCCAGACTGGCTCCTCCGAGGACTGGCTCTGCCCATTTGCATCTCTTTGGCACCTCTAGCACAAAGGACGCTTAGTTAACCAGAGCACAGTAAATATTTGTGGAGTTGAATTAAAAACCATTTGCCCACCGCGTGTAGAGATCGTAGGGTACAAATTTTCTACAGGTAGGTAAACCACAAATACACAAGTGGGTTACTTATGACATGACTCTGAGAGCAAGCTCTTCTCGGCAGGCTTTTCAGAACAAGGTGGGGAAGGAAGAAAGAGGGGGATAGAGAAAGAGGGAGAACAAGCGAGAAGAAGAGAAGAGAGAAAGGGGTGAGGGCAGGAGAGGAGAGAGAGAAGAAGGGAAGATGAGAAGATGAGGAAAGAAGGAGAGGAGGAACAAGGAAGAGAAGAATATAAAGGAGGGAGGAAAGAAATACCCACCATCATTCTGTCGCGCTAGCTGATGCGGCCTTTGTGCCTTCACCCGGGTTGGGCCTCCACTCCTTCTGGGACAAAGGTCTGCTGGCCCCTAGGGCCCTACCCTCGGCTGACTCCAGCTCCCTCCAGGAACCCCCCGCCTCTGTGTCTCCAGGCACAGCCCAGAAATCAGTTCCCGGAGCTGCTCATCATCCCTTTCAAATATTTCTCAACTGGTGGCCCCTCATCAACTCCCAAACTCCATCTAGGGGACTCGGAAGCCCTCCGCTCTTCACTCTCCCACCCACCCCAGCGCCCCCACTCCCTGGCAATCCTGGTGGCTCACCAGGCCCTCCAGGGCCAGGCAGTGTTCCAAGCGCTGTATGTATCTTCCCTCAGCACAGACCTCCAGAGGGGGCCAGTATTATCCTCTGTTTACAGAGGGAGAAACTGAGGCAGAGAACAGTGAAATACCGCCCCAGGGTCACACAGCTGGTGTTGGCAGACATGAAGTTGAGGTACCAAAGCCAGAAGCCAGGCAAGGTCAGTGGCCCCAGCTCCTCGACCCCTGTCCAGACTGTCAGCTGTGGGTTCAGACAGCCCAGGTGGGCCTGTGTGTCCTGGGGCAGGTCGCTTCACCTCTCTGAACTCCACTTTCTGGAGCTGCCTTGCTGGACATGGGAGAGGATGACATGGACTCAGTAGCTACCGGGAGACTTCACTGTGATTTTTTTCTTTCCGCCCCTGCCGGCCCCTCCTGCAGCCTGCGACCCATCTACCAGATCCTCCAGCTCTTTCTACTGGGCTTTCCAGGCCCCTGCCTGCCCCTTGCCGCTCCCCGTGTACAACATCAGCATTTTCTGAGCATACTTAGACATTCATGGCATGGTAATTTATGGAAATATTCATTTGTGTTTGTTCTCCTGGTATTTTTCACTTCTCCTCTCCCCCTCCTCTTCCAGCAGGCTTTGTGCTACCTTGCCTGCGGGATTTGACGAAGGCTTTCTGGGAGAAAAAATTTACACCATGGGAAAGATAATGGCAGGGAGAGAAGGGGGGATTGTCAAGGGAAGTGTGAGTGCCCTGCCACCTTTGCCCTGGGAGGCAGAAGGTGGCGTTCTGTAGGCACCACAGGAGGCTGAAGCCCAGGACAGTGGCCTCAGTGTCACCCATGATTCTAGTCCCCTAAACATGGTACAAAAGTTGCAGGACCACTGACCTGAGGGAGCTTCAAGGACAGAGACAAGCAGATGCCTTGGAGGTGACCATGTGACCACGAGGGCTGAGGGCCACCCAGGGTTTTGTGCCAAGGCCACATCAAGACGCTGAGAACCTCTGAGTGCCAAGAACCTTACGATGCATCACTGCCATTTGTAATTCAAGACAGAAATAACACTAAAGCAGAAAGTACGTATTAAAAGAGCCAACAAAGTTCAGATTTCTTTTTCTGATATTTTTTCTCCCAGCTTTATGTAAGAATAATACACATAGATAAAATCTATTCAAAGTACACAGTTTGCTGAGTTTCGGAAATTGTATACAAACGTATACAAACCTCCATCCCTCTTGCCCCTTTGCAGTTGATCCCTGGCCTAGACCCTGGCCCCAGACAACCACTGATCATCTTGCTTTCACTATAGTTTTGCCTTTTCTAGAATTTCTTGTAAGTGAAATCACGCTGTATATAGACT